GAATTAACTGGATAAGTGAATCCAGGCACTTGGACAATTGGGCAACCTCCAAAATATCCGGAAAACCTCTCAGCATCAAGAGTAGCACTCATGAGAATCTGTTGCCACAGAACAAAAAAAATAATCTTCTATTGTAACTGTATCATAGCAGTGGATAACGAGGAGTATAATGTAACTGACCAGTCGGAGATGAGGATTTGCTGGAAGGAAGTCCCTGCAAACAAACAAAGGCATCACAAATTGATCTGAATTTTGCCATACACCCAAAGAATTAAGAGTTATCTTTTCATGGCCTAGCTTCAAATTAAGAATCCGGATAAAGACTGTGTAGAAGTTTTGGCATCTAAATTATAGTGTGACACCATTTAAAAACCGCCATATTAACTTTTTTCGAGATATCAATTGTACCTTATAATCGCCAACATGAAATCAGAGTAGCAATCCCTTTCATGGATCTCATCCTACAAAATAACTTACAGGTCACTGACCAATCAACACAACTACAAAATCATTTTACAGCTGAAGGGCACAAACAAACAAGAATGTGTTACCACAATGATGTGAGTTATATCAGGAATACAACTACCACCGCCTTTGCCTACAAGCACCCTCAGCAGAATGCCATTCGTGCAGAAAACAACTGATGACTGTCTCCCACCTTTACTTTTCAGCCGCACCTAGATTTGCATTATAAAGTCAATGATATATTGAGAGAGGATATTTCCCGTAGCCCTTAACATGTGTGTCTATCACATGGAATAGTATCTGTCAAACAAAAATGACCCCCTTACCTTGTAGCCGATGCTGTTCCCTATAACTTCACCTCTTTCCCAGGATAATCGTTCCGAAACTTTAGAATAAGAAAAGAAGGCATTAATCTAGTTAGCAGCTTAAGCGGCATGCATTAGAACTACAAATCTGAAACTTCACAGGATCTGAATCAGAAAATTACTGGCCTGAAATAGCTGAGATACGACGTGGTTGGGTGCAAATGATTTTGCAAGATTCTTGCTTACTATACCACATATGATCTAGAAGATATTGAGGCACCTAAAATATCAACAACTGAGGCACCTGAGAAACTTCATAAATG